ACATACACCAGTGGGTGAATACACACACACACACACACACACACACACACACACACACTAGTAGCTGCATCCAAACTTTTCAAGCCTTATTATTAAGTCATACTGCAGAGAAGACTGATGCTACGTCCTCATCACCTCCCTGCAGTATGTCCCACCCCCACTGTTGGGTGGAGAGGAGTAGTCCTGGATCCTGAAGGCAGACCTTTACAAATGTTCCTTTATGCGAGCATTCCTTCCTCCCCTTTCCTGATGGCTCTGCTCTCTCATGTCTCTCCTCTCCCTCTCCCATCTCAAACCTGTCTTTGCTTTAGTTGCTTTAGATCAAGATGGAATGAGGACTCTATCCCATGCTATAGGAAATCTGATCTCTCTTGGGAGCCCTTCCTCCTCTTAGCGCCTTATCAAACATGACAAATAGGGTATATTTTCTTAAGTCTGACTGCTCTAATGTCTTGACAGCCCATTTACTGTGTTATTAATTATGATGGTAATATGAAAAACTTATGTGCTGATTAGTTTTTTTCATCAACTTGATGCGAACTAAGGTCCTATGGGAAGAGGAACCCTCAAGTGAGAAAAAAAGCCTCCATCAGATTGTCCACAGGCAAGTGTGTGGGGCATTCTCTTGATGAATAATTGATGTAGGAGGACCCAGCTGGGGGTGGGGGTGGCGCTGTGGAAAAAAGCAGGCTGGAAATGCTATGCAGAGCCGTCCTGGGGTGGGGTGGGGGGGGCGGTGTGTCACTCCAGCTGGGGGTAGGGGGCGCTGTGTCACTGTGGAAGATAGCAGGCTGGAAATACTACGCAGAGCCGTCCTCCATTGTCTCTGCTTCAGTTCTTGCCTTCAGGTTCCTGCGTTGAAATAAAGCCTTTCCTCCCCAAATTGCTTTTGGTCATGATGTTTGTCACAGCAATAGAAAACAAATTAGAGGCAGGCCTGGTGGCGCACGCCTTTAATCCCAGCACTCGGGAGGCAGAGGCAGCGGATCTCTGAGAGTTTGAGGCAGGCCTGGTCTAAAAGGGGAGTAAACTAGGACAATGTATGCACTGTTTTTCTTGGGCTGTGTGTGTGTGTGTGTGTGTCCGTGTGTGTGTGTCCACGCGTGTGCACGCGCACCATGACATATGTATATGTAGAAGTCAGAAGGCCACTCTGTGAAGTGTTGTCCTCTCCATCTTTACATGGTACTGTGGGTTGACTGAGAAACGTCCCCTAAGGCTCCCACATCTGAGTATGTGGTCCCCCATTAGTGGTGCGGTTTGGAGAGGTTTATGGAACCTTTAGGTGGTACAGCCTTGCTGGAGGAAGTTCGGCACTGGGAGCAGGCTCTGAAATACATAGCTTCACCCCACTTCCCACACACTGTTGAGATGTAACAGCTTTCTGCTCCTGCCACAATGCCTTTCCTATTGCTAAGTACATCTAGCCCTCTGAGACTGTAAACCAAAATAAATTCTTAAGTTGTGTTTGGTCCTGGCATTTTATCACAGCAACAGAAAAGTAACTAATATACATGGATTCTGGAGATCAAACTTAAGTGGTCAGGCTGCATTGTTAGTTGCCTCTGTGGGCTAAGCCACCTCACTGGCCCCTCCCGCTTAATGTTTTAAACCAGGTCTCTCACTGAACCTGGACCGCACAGGTTAAGCTAGCAAACCTAACGGTGTCCTGTCTCTGCCTCCTGGCATGGAGATTACAGGTGCACGCCATAGCACCTGGCATTTAAAAAATATTTTATTTATTTATCTATATGAGTCCCCTATCCACATATATGACTTTATGCCGGAAGAGGGCATCAGATTCCACTAGAGATGGTTGTGAGGCACTATGTGGTTGTTGGGAATTGAACTCAGGATCCCTAAAGGAGCTGCCAGTACTCTTAACCACGGAGCCTGCCCCAGCACCTGGATTTTAAAAGGAGTTCTAAGGGTCCAAACTCAGTTCCTCTCACTTGCATTACAAATACTTGACCAATTAACCTACTTCCCAATCCCTAGTCTTGTTTTTGTTTTTTGAGACAAGGTCTCATGTAACCCAGGCTGTCCTCAAATTCAATTGTCCTTCTTCAGCCTCATAATAGTGGGGTTATAAGTATTGCCATCGCATATAGAGGCAAATGTACTTTTAAAATGTAAAATATAAAATAAAGAGAAATACAAAATACACATAGAAATATGTGCACATATAAATAAATGCACACATATTTTGTGGAGCTGGGTATCAAATCTAGTCTTATACAGGGAAGGCAAGCACTCTACTGGTTGAGTTACAGCCCTAGACCTCTGGAATCAAGCTATTGGCAGATGAGAGAGCAAAGAAGAACTTTACTAAGAGTAAAGTTTACTAAGAGTAAAGTTTAGTAACTTTAGTGTTATCAGAAAAGGAACAAATTGAGTGCACCCCAAATTAGTATACTAAAGTTGTAAATCCCAAATACCTCATGTTGTGGAATATTATTTCAGCTAAGATGTGTTACATTTGTTTATGCTGCAGAATATTACTTTAACTGTGTAAAGGTGTGTTTTATGTGTTTGTGCTGCATTTGTTTAACTATGTAAAGATGTGTTGCATTTGTTTCACCCTGCCTGCCTAAGGCACCTGATTGGTCTAAGTAAAAAGCTGAATGGTCAATAGTAAGTGAGGAGAGGGATAGGCAGAGCTGGCAGGCAGAGAGGATGAGCAGGAGCAGAAATCTAGTCTCAAGAGAGAAGAACAGAGAGAATGAGGGAGAAGGAGAGGGACACACCAGAAGTCAGACAGTCAGACATGAGAAGCAGGAAAGCAGGGCATCAGAAAGAAATAAATAAAGAAAAAGAGGAGGAGAGAGGGAGAGAGAGAGAGAGACAGAGAGGGGGGGAAGAGAAAGGACAGAAGGAAAAGAGAGAGAAAGGTAAAAGTCCTGAGGCAAAACTTAGATGAAGAGAAACAGGACAAATTCAGTTATAAGAGCTATTGGGACAAACATAAAATAAGGCCAAGCATTCCTAACAAATAATAAGTCTCCATGTCATGATTTGGGAGCTAGCTGGTGGCCCAAAATAAAGTATCTTACACTTCATAAGAAAGGTATACAATAGTGGGGGTGGGGGTCATGTGGTGATCAGAAGACAGCTTACAGAGGGTTTTTTTTTCCTTCCATTATGTGGGTCTCAGGGATTGAACTCAGGTCGTGAGGACTGGAGGCAAGGGCTTTACCACTGAGCCACCTCACCATTTCCTTGTAAGAGGAGCAAGCTTGGGACTGCAGAAATGACTCCACAGTTAAGACCCCTTGCTGCTTTTGGAGAAAACTGTCGTTCAGTTCCCAGCACCCACATCAGATAGCTCAGTCACCTGTAACTTCAGCCCCAAGAGGCCTGTTACCCTCTCCTGACCCCCTGAGGCACCCGAATGCATGTTCACAGATACATACAAAGACAAACACACATACATATAAATAAAGCTAATCTTCAGAAATGGGAGAGGTAGAGAAGAGGGGGAGACACCAGGATAAGATCACCATCTATAACCCAAGAGGAAACATCTTAGGGGAAACGAACCCACTGACACCTTGTCTCATACTGCTAGCCTCTGTGACCACTAGAAAATACCACAGTTTCAGCACTCAGTCTGACGCCTTGCTGTAACAGCTGCAGGCAGCAAGTGTGGCCACCAAGAGATCTATCTGCTCACCCAACTGGTGGCCCCTGTTTGAAGCATTCTGAGGACTCTACTTGAAGGTAGCCACAGAGGTGGAACAGAAGAAACAGTGTAGAGCCCTTCACGATGACAAAGACCAGTGAGCTGCCAGCCATGGTTACTAGAGAGCCATCTCAGTCAACAGACCCTGAGGATAGTCAGACTCAATTGAAGCATTTCCACAAACACTCCCCAGGCTTTCTCACAGGAGGAAAAGTCAAGGCAGATCCTACAAATGCAGTTCCTATGTCGTCACTCAGATTTTTACCAAGTATTAAATAAAGCTAGTAGATATTTGCCACTTGGGGGGGTGCTAAAAATAAGATCTCATTCCTTCCACTGAAAATATTTAGGACAGGCAGTGTAGCTCAGTGGTAGAATATTTGTCCTGCATGTGCAAAGTCCCAGGTTAGAGCCTCAGCTGTCACACACACACTTTATCTCTCTCACGCACACACACTCTATTTCTCTCTCAGACACACACACACACTTTCTCTCTCACACACACTATCTCTATCTGTCTCTCTCTCCTCTCTCACTCTCACACACTTTCTCTCTCTAACTCTATCTCTAACTGTCTCTCTCTCTCTCTCTCTCTCTCTCTCACACACACACTTTCTCTCTCTCACACTCTCTATCTCTATCTGTCTCTCTCTCTCCTCTCTCTCACACACACACTTTCTCTCACAAACACACTTTCTCTCACACACACTCTACATCTCTCTCTCTCTCTCTCTCTCACACACACACACACACACACACACACGAGACAGAGAGGGATGCTTACACATATTACTATTATTATTATGCCACAAATTTCTATCTACTTTAAATTTTTTATTTTATGTCTATGGGTGTTTTGTCTGCATGCATATCTATGCACAACATGTGTGTCTGGTGCCTGCCTGGTGTCTTGGTCAGAAGTGGGGGTCAGATCCCCTGGAACTGAAATTACAGACAGATACCATGTGGTATTGGGAATCAAACCCAGGTCCTCTAGAAGAGCAGTCAATGCTCTTAACTTCTGAGCCATCTCTCTAGGCCCTATGTGATAAGTTTGGAGCATGGTACCCCACAAGCAGTATGCCTAATTCCACAGTTGGCTGTCAACTCAAAAGCCCTGAACTAGGCACCTTCTTCTGTAGGGGTGGCAAAGGCAGACATGAATCTAAACTGTGTTCTGCAGTGATGAGAGAGTTTGATGCAGAGGGGAAGGAACAAAGCTGGGTTAAGAAAATGCCCTGTGCTGTTAGCAGAAATTCCTCTCCTAAATGTTTATGGAAGATGTTAGCGCCCAGTTTTGATTTTGGAAGCCATATACCTCAGCTAAAAGAGTCTTGTTTTTCACCAACAAGCCGGCAAGGTCAGGATGGACTGGGTCAGCTGTCTTTTTGTTGTATATGATTGGGTTCCTGGTAGGAACCGCTTCAAGAGGTGGATCAAAACAGGCCTATAAAGAGAAATGGCCGGTTAATTAACTAAATATGTGCCCTGCGGATCAAAGCACACAAACGTTCGAGCCCACACAAACTCTTAAAATAAGTAGCAGCAAACGGGACTCCACTTTAAGATACTTATTCTGAGGTACTGTCCTAGCCAACTCAACAGCTTCCAGAAAAATGGCAACTATCATGCTGACCTAGAGAGCTGCTTTACATTCTTCTGAACACTCATCTGTCAATCAATACTCACCTGTAGATAATTTAATACTCTCCTATCAATCTTACTACTAGCAGAAGCAAATGCAGCCTGTCTGAATCGTGTGGGGTGATCTCTGAGAGTGCAGGAATCAAGAAAACACACAAAAAGCCTGGAGATGTTTCCATATGTATATACTAATGCTTTAGAGGGCTGGAAAGATGGCTCGGTGGTTAAAAGGGCTTGATGCTTGAAGTCAGGAGTTCAGAGTCCTGCACCCGTGTAACAAATCATGGTCCTGAATACACCTATAGCCTGCACTGGACAGGCGGGGGTGGAGACAGGAGGATTTCTGAGGCTTGCTGTCTGCCAGGTTAGACAAAAACAAAAACAAAACAAAGCACGAGCTCCAAGTTCAGGAAGTGGCCTCAAAGGAATAGAGTAGAGGATAGTGAAGGACACCCAACATGCTCTTCTGACCTCCAAGAGCACGTGCACATGCACACAGATACACACATATGTATACATACAGCACACACACATACACACAAATACATATGCTGCAAAAATTTTAAAATAGTCTCTGGAGAGGTGGCTCAACAGTTTAGAACACTTGTGGCTCTTGCAGAAGACCTAGGTTCAATTCCCAGTACCCACATGGTGACTCACAACCATCTGAAACTCCAGTTCCAGGGGATCTAATACCCTCCTCTGACCGCCAAGGGCACCAGGAATACATGAAAGCCAAATATTCATGTAGAGGGGATACTTTTCTATGTCTTCTCTGGGACCACTGGACCTGTTTCTCTCCACCCACAGGGTTCCCGCAGCCACTTATGAAACAACAACTCTGAGGCTTAATATCAGTTACAATTCTTTGGCCAATGGCTTAGGCTTCTTACTGGCTACTCTCTCTTAAAATATTAACCCATTTCTATTAATCTGTGTATCACCACGTTGTGGTAGCTTACCAGTGATACCCTTGCATCTTGCTTCCCTGGCAGCTACAGGGCATCTCCTTAACCCTGTCTTCCTTCTCTAGCTTTGTTTGGAATTCCCTCCTAGGTATATTCTGCCTGGTAATTGGCTGAAACAGCTTTATTCATCAACCAATAAAAGCAACACATATACACAGCCTACAGAAGGACACCCCACATCATATTCATGTACACAAAATATAGCTAAAGAGAAAAAGAAGAAAGAAGTAGCTCCTAGGGGCTAGAGAGATAAGGGTGTGCTGTTCTGCCAGAGGATCCAAGTCAGTGCCTAGCACCCAAGTTGGGTGGTTCATAACCAACTATAATTCTACCCAAGAAATCTGACTTCCTCTTCTGCCCTCTGAGGGCACCTATATGCATGTGAAGACACACACACACACACACACACTTAAATAAATGTTTTTTCTTTAAAAAAAAAAAAGGTAGTTTTGCCTGGGCAGTGGTGGTGCGTACCTTTAATTCCAGCACTTGGGAGGCAGAGGCAGGTAGATCTCTGTGAGTTCAAAGCCAGCCTGGTCTACAGTTAAGGCTACACAGAGAAACCCTGTCTCAAAAAACAAACAAACAAAAAAGGTAGTTTCTAAAAAGGAAAGGAAAGGAAAAAAATGTAACTAATGGTAAACCGGGCATGGTGACATATGCCTGTTATCCTAGCATTCAGGAGGTGGAAGGATGGGAGATGTTCAAGGTCATCTTCAGCTATGTGCTGAGTTTGAGACAGCCTACACATAAGTCATATAATTACAAACAGACATCAAAGTGATTTTTCACTAATAACACAAAAACTGGAAAACAGCAGAATGGTATCTTTATTGTACTATGAAAAATGTACCATCTTTTATTCATTCCAAGAAGCACAAATTTTAGTATTTTCCTTTTTTTTCTTTGTGTGTGTGTGTGTGTGTGTGTGTGTGTGTGTGTGTGTGTGTTACCTTAGGTGCTATCTGCCTTGTTTTCTGAAATGCATCTCACTGGCTTTTGGCTCATCAAGTAGGGATCTGTGAGTGCATGTCTCTACAGTGCTGGAATTATAAGCACATTTGGCTATCCCTATGGGTTTCATGTGGATGCCAGAAGCTGATCTCAGTGTACCACATAAGGAGTTTACCAAGTGAACTATCTCTTCAGTCACACACATTTTCTTATCTTGGCAGTTGGGGTGGCATCTTAAAGTGGAGACAGTTCACATTGTTCATACTTAGCTGGAAACATACTTTCAAATTTACAATAGTGCATAAAATAACAGTGTTTCCTAAAAATTAATGAAATAGTGGAAATGTCATCTAGTATATCATACTGAATTAAATTATGTTTTGGCATTTGTTTTTGTTTTTGAGACAAGGTTTAACTATTACGGCCCAAGCTGGACTCAAACTGTGACCCTCCTGTCTCCCAAGTACTTGGATTTCACTCCCAGTTTATGTTTTAAGATTAAGAATAGATGAAGGTGGTGGTGTGGCAGGCTGTAACCCCAGCACTGAGGAGGCAGAGACAGGTGAATCTCTGAGTTTGAGGCCAGCCTGGTTTACGGAGAGAGTTCCAGGACAGCCAGAACTACACAGAGAAACCCTGTTTCAAAAACAACAAAACAAAACAAAACCAATGAAACAAAAAAGGATAAAATAAAGTCATTTCATACAAACAAACATTGAGTTTGTTTTTGCGGAGTATGTGTCTTTATTCCCAGCACTCAGGAGGCAGAAGCAGGCAGATCTCTGAGTTCAAGGCCAGCCTGATCTAGCAAGCAAGTCAGGACAGCCAAGAACAGCTAAGGCTACATAGAGAAACCCTGTCAAAAAAGAAAAGAAAAGAAAAAGAACCCAAAAAACTTCTAAAGATTAAAGAAAACAAGCTTACCAAGTGTGAAATACAAATAAATAAATAAATACAAAAATAATTAAGTAGGGAGAAGACAGCCTAGATTCTATGGCTAAAGCCTATAATCCTATCACATGGAAGGATTTCTGTGAATCTAAGGTCAATCACAGAATGTTACCAAAAAAGTGGGGAGTACAAAAAGAAAAAGAAAATAACAGTAAGTGATGTGAGTGCTAAATTGTAATATATGAGGTAGAAAATAAAAGATACCAGACAGAAAACACACCCCAAGACATACATACATGGATCTGCCTAGGAAGGGGAAAAAGACAAAACCTTCTGAGTAAATTGGGAGTGTAGGGGATAAAGGATTGGGTGGAAGTGGAGAGGAAGAGGGGAAAGGGGAGTAGGGAAAATTATAGTGCAATAAAAATTTTAAAAATTAAAAATTCAAATGACTAATAAAGATTTTAGTTAACTATGCTAATATCAAAAAAGTCTTTGTTTGACAGTTTCTTAGATATATATAATGTGTTTTGCTCAAATCTACCCCAACAGTAAAAGGTTTACAGCTGTGAAAATATATATTGTATAACTTCTAGGCTAATAAAAAAGGGGGGAAAGACATGCAAAAAATAAACACACACAAAACAAGCAAACAAATGTTGTCAAACAGACTACATGTAATTAGATACTAGAAATGTGGCCAACATTTTTTTTAAACAGTCTCATTTCAGCCGGGAATTGGTGGTGCACGCCTTTAGTCCCAGCAGAGGCAGGCGGAGCTCTGTGAGTTCAAGGCCAGCCTGGTCTACAGAGCCAGTTCCAGGACAGCCTCCAAAACAATACAGAGAAACCCTGTCTCTGTCGTTTCGTTGATTGGTTGGTCATTCATTGATTCATTCATTTATTTTCAAGACAGGGTTTCTGTGTGTAGGCCTGGTTGTCCTGGAACTCACTCTCTAGACCAGCCTGGCCTCAAACTCACAGAGATCCACCTGCCTCTGCTTCCAAAGTGTTGGGATTAAAGGCATGTGCCACCACCACTAGGCTCATTTTTTCTCTAATACAGTTCTGGGTATCAAAGTCAGGGCTCTGTGCATATTAGGCAAGCACTCTACCAGCTGAGCTACATCGTTAACTCTAAATAATAACGTTGATAGAGCGTCTTCTCTTCCCCCTCCCTCTCCTCTTATTTCCTTCAGGAAAACGACAAACGATGGATGATACCGGGCAGCAGGACAGTCCCAAGGACCAGGAGGACCCTGAGGCCCAGGCTTAAGAGACCTTGGCAGCTTCCTTTGTTAGATTGGAGGATTCAGCAGTGGTCTTGGGGTCTGTGGTTTTGGTTGCGGCCATGGCCAGGGTCAAGGCTGCAGAGCTCGTGGAGGCAAAGCAGAGGACAAGAAGTTCGCTGCTGGATGTGGGGGCATGCGCCTTTAATCCCAGCACTGGGGAGGCAGAAGCAGGGGATCTCTGGTCTACAGAGCAAGTGCCAGGATAGGCTCCAAAGCCACACAGAGAAACCCTGTCTCAAAAAACCAAAAAAAAAAAAAAAAAAAAAAAGGTGGATCCCTGTTACCAAGCTGAGCCTCCTGGTCAAGGACATGAAGATCAAGCCCCTGGAGGAGATCTACTTGTTCTCCCTGACCATTAAGGAATCTGATATTAATCAAATTTTTCCCGGGAGCATCCATAAAGGATGTAAGTTTATGCCTGTGCAGAAGCAGACATGGACTGACCAATGGAGCAGGTTCAAGATTTTTGATATTGAGGACTACAATGGTCATGTTGTTAGCCTTGATATTAACTGTTCCAAGGAGGTAGCCACTGCCATCCGATATATATATATGGTTGGGGGAGGGCGAGACATTTTCTTCAGTGGTGTAACTGCTGTTAAGGTGCCCATGCACCTGTCAACAAACCTAATGAAATTCATTGGATCACACACACAATATATATAAAAATAGAAGGCTGAGAGAGATAAGAGAGGGTAATGGGGACATGAATATGAGATACATACATGCATATATGCAATGTTTCAATAAAACCTATTATTACATATCATTTATACATATTATAAAATAGTCTTAGAAGTTGAGAACAGCTAGGCAGTTGTGGCACATCCCTAGTCCCAGCACTCAGGAGGCAGAGGCTGGTGGAGCTCTGTGAGTTCAAGGCCAGCCTGATCTACAAAGCAGATGCCAGGACTGTTACACAGATAAACCACACACACACACACACACACACACACACACACACACACACACACACACAGTTGAGAACAGCAAATGTTAAGCAGGAATTTAATGGATAAATAATTTATGGTTTTATCCTTTGGAATCAATCACAAACTGATAGAAACCATTTAAAATTATACATATATCAAAACAGATTCCTCACCAAACAAAATAATCAAGTCATAGAAGAAGAAAAAAACAGCTAGGCTTGGTGGTGCATGCCTATAACACTAGCACTTGGGAGACTGGAACAAGAGACCAGAAATTCTCTAGTAGGCTATTATGCAGTTTGAGGGCAGTCTTCACCATCACATGAGACTGTAATCCCAGGACTTGCGAAGTGGCAGCAGAAGGATCAGAACTTCAAGGTTGCCCTCAGATACATGGCAAGTTTGAGATCTGGGCTACATGATGCCCTAGTTCAAAAACTTGTAAGTGTGATATGTTATTTGTAGTGGAATTGACACAACAATTATATGCATGGACTACATTTAGTGGTAAATTTAAAAAAATTATTCTAGGTCTTGGGTAGATGGCTCAATGGGTAAAAATACTTGTAAGATAAATGTGAGGACCTGAGTTCAAATCCCCAGAACCCACACAAAGTCAGAGGTAGTAGCAGAAGCGTGTACTTCCAGTGATCCCATGGGAAAATGGGAGGCAGAGACAGGGGAGTGCAGGAGCCTTAAGGAACCAGGCCTTGGGGTAGAGCAGGACTGGACAAAAAACAAAAGCCCATTTTCACAGACGATGAAAAACAGAGACTGACACCCAAGGGTGCCCTCTGACTCCATAGTAGCACCATAGTAGGTATGTTTCCTCATTCACACACACAAACATGCACACACACATGCAGAAATAAAAAGAATTCCAGCTGGCTGTGGTGGCATGCACTATAATCCCAGCATTCCTGGAGGCAGAGACAGGAAGATAGCCACAAGTAAGAGGCCAATCTGGTTTACATTGAGAGTTTTATAAGCTAGCCTGGGCTATAACAGCAAGATACTGCCTCAAAAGAAAAAGAAATTAAAATGTGGGATTAGTAAGCAGCTTAGTGGTGGGACCCTTCCCCTGGTGTGTGTGTGAGGTTCCAAGTTTCATCCCCGGAACTGAGGGAAAATTTTAATGTGCAAACATGGCACACAGCTCACAAGCAACGCATTTGACTGGATTCAGCTATAGGTTCAGTCCCTGACTGGATTCAACTATAGGTTTAGTCCCTAGTGACTCCAAAACCTTAACTATCTATAAGAAATCTATGAGATGACAAAACGCAATTTTATGGTGCTGCACTATAGTTAAAACCCAAACTAGATCTGCATACTTGCTCCCAAAGATGATGTCCTTTTTCTTTTTCTATTACTTTTGAGACAGAGGCTCACAATTGCCCAGGATAGCCGCATATTTGTGAGCTTCAGTGGCCCTTCTGGTGACTCAACCTCCCAAGCAGCTGGAATGACAAGTACACACCACTGTGCTCAGCAGTATGCTGTTTTAAATCTGGGTCTCAAAGCCAGGCCATTTGTGTTATGATTTCATAGTTAAACACAATTAACTGAAAACAAGATTACAATTACTTTATTAATATGAAATTTATACTGTTTATATTAATTATAAAATATTGAAAATGGCAAAGTCTTGTTTGTTTGTTTTAAGATAAGGTCTCGTGTAGCACAAGCTGACTTCAAACTTACTATATAGCTGAAAATAACCTTGAATTTTTGAGTATATCGCCTCCATTCCCAAGTGCTAGGATTCCAGGCATGTGCATCTAAGGGTTCAAACCCAGGGCTGTCTGCATTCCAGGTAAGCATTCTACCAATTGAGCTATAGCTCCAACCACAACAAGTGCTTTTTAAATTCCCAGACATATTCAGGAGCATTGAGATAATTGAAAAGAATTCAACTACTAAAGATTAGAGAACAGAGCTAGGCGGTGGTAGCACACACTTTAATTCCAGCACTTGGAGGCAGAGGCAGGCAGATCTCTGTGAGTTTGAGGCCAGCCTGGGCAACAGAAGGAGTTCCAGGACAGCCTCCATAGCTACTGAGAAACCCTGTCTCGGGCTAGAACAATGGCTCAGAGAGGTTAAGAGCACTGGCTGAGTTCAATTCCCAGCAACCACATGGTGGCTCACAACCATATATAATGAGATCTGGTGCCCTCTTCTGGAGAGTAGGCATACATGCAGACAGAACACTGCACATGCAATAAATAAGTAAATAAATCTTTAAAAAAAATAAGATAAAGACTGGTCCAGGCGGTGGCACTCTCGGGAGGTAGAGACAGGCGGATCTCTGTGAGTTCAAGATCAGCCAGGTCTACATGAGCTAGTTCCAGGACAGCCTCCAAAGCCACAAAGAAACCCTGTCTGAAAAAAAAAAAAAAGACTGGGTAGACCTTTCTGGTGCTCTTAAAAATGTCAATGGACAGGTTATGTGCTCCAAGAAGATATTCAAGTTAAAAATTCCCATTAAGGTCATGAAACTGGCCTGTAAACCCAGCTGTACTATAGTGCACTAGACAGATAGAACTGTTCACAGATAGAATCAGACCATCTTGTGTTGCTTCTAAGTCACTGTGGCCGCTCCCAGGTGGGGTTCTCTAATGTACAAAATAATGGTCAGAGATTTTCTGCAGGTCTTTCATGTTGACTGGGAGTAATGGGCAATAGTAAATTGAACTACAAAAAAAGTGGAGGCTTCATGAGATCCAGATGTTTCACTTTGTCTTGTTCTGGAGTTAACTGAGGCATCAGCAGGGGGAGGGTGCACCAGATGACTCGGGAGGTAAAGGCAGCTGCTGCTAAGCCTGAAGACCTGAGTTCTATCCCTGGGACCCACACGGTGGAGGGGGAGCACTGACTCTCACAGATTGCCCTCTGACAACCACACATGCACAACAGACATAATTTAAAAAGTGCAAGTGGGAGAGGCCTGGCATGATGGCCTACCTGTAATTCTAGCACTGGGGAAACAGGCAGAAGGATCAGTGTAAGCGTGAGAATTGCCTGACTACACAGTGTTATGTCTGTCTCAAAAAATCAGAGCGAGGTATGGTGGCTCACACCTACAGTTCTAGCACTTTAGAGGCTGACCCAGGAGGAGACAAATGTGAGGCTAGCCTGGGCTATGTAGTGAGACCACATGACAAAAAACAAAAGTGAGACGTAGTTTTACTTCTTTTTATATTGATTTGCATGTGTATGAGCAAGTGCTTGCCCCAGCTTGCATGTGGTGGTCAGAGGACAATTCTCACTCTCCTTCCACAAGGTGGAAGCAATCAAATGCAAATCACCTTCACCTGCTGAACTCTGTCAACACACCCCTGAATTTATCTTTTGTATCATTCACCAGCAAATGCTAAGTGCACCAGTAAACGGGCAGCCAGGAGTAAACCTCCCCTCTCTTAGCCTAGCTTTCAGCAGTACCCACATGATATTTTATACTTCCTTCTGAAAATGGAGACAAAATATCAGAGTACAACTCACCACTGGGACAAAATATCAGACAGAGTACAACTCAACTCACCACTGGGACATTTTCTTGAGCTGACAGATGTGATAGGTGCCCGGCTTCTGATGGCTTCACCTCACAGGCCTCTTGGGTTTGGCTATTAGCAAGCCTCCCTGGATCTGAGTGATTTAAAGACTGGAGTGGCCTTGACATGCTAGAGACACAGAAAGCATGAAACAGATTCACTAACAGTGACCCATGTGCTGCCAAGGGATGTTTCTGTATAACACTCAGGAAGAGGTGACGAGACCTGCCCAAAGCCAACAGCAAAGACTGCCAGAAGTTTCCAGTAGTGTCTCAGTGCTTAGTCAGGCCTCAGGAGGAGCTGCCCGCTGAACTTCTTTCTTGAAGACAGCATGGACCTAGTTTTTAAAGAGAGTGTAGAACACTTGAGTGTCAAATAGTGTCATTCAAACACACACACACACACACACACACACACACACACACACACACACACCATCCCTAATGCTATGTAGGAGTCATAACTTTACAATCTGTGAATTTCCCTCATTTTCACTTTTTCAGTTTATCAGAAATGCCAACTAAAGCACTAAAGAAACAGTCAAACCATAAAACTAAGATATGAACACATGTGAATACAATAGTTTATAGAGTTCTTTATGTCCTAGAGGAAAACATAAACATAACCTCATATTACTTTCTATTCAGTGTTAAGGATCAAACCCAAGGTTCTTGAGTCTGCTAGTGTCAGGGTCTGGGCTGGGTGTTTTCAGGATAGATACGTATGTATGTATGTATGCATGTGTATATGTATATATGTATGTATGTATGAGTATGTATATATGTATGAGTGTATGTATAATGAATGTATGTGTGCATGTATATATGTATGTATGTGTATGTATGTGTGTATTATATATATATATATGTGTGTATGTATATATGTGTGTGTATGTGTGCATGCCTGAGTGTCTGGATATCACCATGTATGTGCATGAGTCCTGAATGTTCAGAAGAAGTCACTATATCTCCTAGAATTGAAGTTAAGGCAATTGTGAACAGCCATGGGTGTACTGAGAATCAAACCTGGGTCATCTCCAAGAGAAGTGAGTGTCCTTCATCACTGAGACATCTCTCCAGTCCCGTGCTCATTCACTAGCAAAGGAGGACACTCAGGGGCCTGGCTGTTATTTAGGGATTTCTTTCATGGAAGTTCAATAGAAGGAAGAAGGCCAGTAAGATGGTTCAACCATCTAAACGTGCCTGCCACCAAGTCCAGAAGACCCAAGTTTGATCCCCAGGACTCTTCTAGTAAGAGAGAACCAAGCCATGAACACACATGTAATTATTTTCTTTTAAGTGGAAGCTGAGTTCTAAGATCATCTAAGGTTACAGCTTATTCTCTACAACTCTTTGAAAACCCCACCCTCATACTCAGTGCGTCTTACTTTCTTACACATAATATATAGCTTACTACAATTCACTCATTAGAAAGAACGAAGCATATTTTTATTTTTGTTTTACCATATCACGCCCGAGATCAAGAGGAAATCTCAAATCCAAGATCAATTCCCAGGAGACACCCCAGTGAGTGGGTGTCCTGCACAGTTTGCCAGTAGAACGTTTGCATGTCACAGAAACCGTTGCTAGGGGAACGCATCACAGATGAGCAGGGAAGGCAGGGACCCTCCCAGAGTGGCAGTTAGACTGTGGTTATTGTCCTAAGGAAGTAAAAGCATGAAATCTTAGTTAACAAAACAAAACAAACAATGCTTAAGAAAATGATCCTACCAGAGCTGGAGAGATGGCTCAGAGGTTAAGAACACTGCTTCTTCTTCTAGAGGTCCAATTCCCAGCAACCACATGGTGGCTCACAACCATCTGCAACGAGATCTGGTGCCCTCTTCTGGCCCTTTGGAAAAAAAAAACTGATCCTACCAAAGTGACCAAACACTCCATCAAATGTGAGCATCCTATTTGGAGGCTTTTGTGTGTGTGTATGTGTATGAATATTATGTGTGTACATATATGGTATATGTATATATGTTATATATTATGATTATGTAATATATACATGTATATAAAACATCAAATCCCTAAGAGGATAGAAAATTATAATTCTGTCTATTATTTCTAAGGAAAAGATGATTTATGTCAAAACTGGAATTTTTATTCTAGGCAAATCATTTCACAGCAAAGAAAGTTTGTCCCTAGCATATGTATATTCTTGATGCCAAATAGCAGAAAATACACTTCAAATATCAAAGAATACTGACAGCCTGATCTCTCCAAGTTTTGAGTCAAGGGTAGAGCCTAGGCATAAATATTTTTGAAGCTATAAGGCCATTGGAATGTAAATTTAGGGCTGAAAATGACTTCTCATTGTCACACACCTTTAGTTCCAGCACTTGGGAGGCAGAAGCAGGTGGATCTCTGAGTTTGAGGACAGCCTGATCTACAGAGTGAGTTCCAGGACAGTCAGAGATACTATAACAATAATAATATTAATAATAATAATAAGCAGAAAATATTAAGATGCACAAGAGTAAAAATGCACAATAATGAGAGTAATAGATAATTAAACCAGGAAAAACAAAATTTTTCTCTATAAAATTCTTAAAATGATACCATCTGATGTGGTTTAAGTTAGCTCAGTGGTAGAAAGGTTTCCAAGAAGCTGAGAGACCCTGTGCTTTCACTGTTGATAAAACCTGGCTGCATGTGGAGACCCTGCTTTTCCTGCCTTTTATTCTTTAAATTGGCAGAGAAAAAGAATCTGCCCTGCAACACTAGATGACATCATCTTGCCAGCATAGATCTGTAACATGCCTGTAATCCTAATACTAGGAGGTAGAGGCAGGAAGATTAAAAGTTGTAGGCCATCCTCCACTACATAGCACTTTTAAGGCCAGCCTGGGCTACATGAGATGTTCTCTCAAACAAACAAACAAACAAACAAAAAACAAAACAGATAAATAGACAAGTGGTATATACCTACACAGGAAGATTAGGAATTTGAGGCCAACCTAGACTACACAGTGAGATCTTGTCTCAAAAGACCCATAAGTGCTGGGTGGTGGCAGCACACGCCTTTAATCCCAGCACTCGGGAGGCAGAGGCAGGTAGATCTCTGTGAGTTCGAGGCCAGGCTGGACTGACAGCCTCCAAAACAATACAGAGAAACCCTGTCTCGTTAAAAAAAAAAAAAAAGACCCATAAGCAATAACAAAACACATAGAACATGTGTTAGCTGTCTTCATATGTATATCCACTAATTCTTTAACAAAGCCATAGGCTATAACAGAAAGTTTTATGTTTATATTAAAATTCATATTCTGATTAAAATGTTTTTATACCATCTCTTTCTGTGTAAATATTACTACAGGATAAATTCTTAGAGCTAAAAAAAATCAAAGTCATTACACATTTAGATTCTTTCAGTAACAGAGAATCTATTTAGCTTAGACCAGTCTTGTACCTCCCAAGCGCTGATTTGATAGGTATGTACAATAAAAAAGTTATATATAATATAATGTGATATATATATACATATATATATACATGTATATATCAAGGTCTCACTTATGTAGCTCAGGCTGGTCTAGAACTCACTACGTAGATCAGTCTGACCTTGAACTCACAAAGATCCTCCTGCCTCTGCCCCCAACTGCTGGGATAAAAGGCATGTGCCACAGGCCACATTTAAGGTTTTGTTTGTTTGTTTGTTTGTTTGTTTGGTTTTGGTTTTTCCAGACAGGGTTTCTCTGTATTGTTTTGGAGGCTGTCCTGGAACTCACTCTGTAGAACAGGCTGACCTCGAACTCATAGAGATCCGCCTGCCTCTGCCTCCCTAGTGCTGGGATTAAAGGCATGTGAGTTTTTGATAAATATTATGTAATTAAAAATGGACCTCGGACAAAAATGATATACAGCAATTAATCGTGACCAATTCTACATATGTAATGTAAAACAGCCCCGGATTTCAGGCGAAAGTCACCAACAAGTCCACACACACTAGGGCAGAAAAAAAATCAAGTTCAGTAAAAGTTCCGCCCTGGCGCTGGGAACCTAACCGCTGGTAGAAGCTCTTGCCTAGCATTCAAAACCCTGGGCTAATTCCCAGGGCAGAAAGGGCAAGGGCAACCACTCTAACAATGGTTGATAAATCAACAGTCATGTGGTGAAATTCTAATGATTTCTCTTTAGAACTGTGTGGCGGAAACTGCAACCACAGTGAGAATTCAGCCTAGTTTCAGCAGGAGAAAAAGCAAAGTCAATTCAACAACTTTGGTACCTTCCCACCATCAGGTTCTGAAGGAAAACTTATTTCTGCACTGGGGCCAACGAGGGGAGGGGTGTCCGCCAGTAAGCATCTGGCATCTAGCTGATGGACAGTGTGGTCTCTTCCAATACTGAGGATCACTCATCCTGACTCAGGCTGCCTCCACACTGCCTGGAGCCCCAAGCTCCAGCTCTGACGCCCCATTTCAGTTGCCGGGTCAACCTGCCCCTGGGTTCAATCCTGAGAGGACGCAGGTTTAGCAGAGACTTTTAATTCAGTGTTAGGGAGCTTGTCTTGATCTTGCCTATGCCAGAGCTGTGGGTTGATCCTCCAAACTGTTGCTGGAGTGGAAGAGTCAGACCCCAGACCCTGACAATCCAATAAACTGGGTCTGCCACCATCCTTAATAAGACAACTAAACAAGTAATGGTAAAATACAGAGAAAGGAGATGTATTCAATGGAGCCACTTTGGGAAGAGGGACAAAGAAAAAAGCTCTATGTTCTGGGTTTTAATATGAAAGTACGGTTTAAGTAGAGAGTCAGACTTTTTTCTTTCTTGCTTGTTTTTCCGACAGGATTTCTCTGTGTAGCTTTAGAGCCTGTCCTGGAACTTGCTCTGTAGACCAGGCTAGCCTCGAACTCACAGAAATCTGTCTGCCTCTGCCTCCCGTGCACTGCCACCACCCAGCAAAGGGTCAGACTCTTACAGAACTGAACAGTCAAGGTCAAGGTGAGGAAGGCCCCACCTATCACTGTCTAGGCTTCATCCTTGCAAGGTGATCTGTGTGAAATTTCTTTCCGGGAAACAAGTTTCTACTCTGGCTGACACCAAGCATCTTCTCCCAGCACAGATTCCAGAGGGGCATTCAATTCCCTGGGGTGCTTTTGTTTCTCGGCCGAAGGCCAAGGACACAATTGCCTCATTCCTGCTAGGAGGGTTACAGTGAGGCAAGGTTAACCCCAGCTGCTCCACCACACTCTGGGCTGTGACAAAGTGGAAAGCCGCATCACCGGCTCCAGATCCAGCACCCGCAACTAGCTCAAGGCCCGGAGAAGCAAGGACGATCCAAAAATCACGCCGTGAGACAGGTCAGCGCACGACTCTAGTCACAGCAACCAAGAAAACTGTCCTGAGCCAGGGGAACTTGCAGACAGACCCACTCTGTCCGGGCTCCGACCAGGCCCCGCCCCCACCGCCACGCCCCCTAGACCTGATCTCTGATTGGCTGAGAGCGAGGCGGGAAGCTTCCGGCTCACCAGAGGCGGGTTCTGCACAGGCTCTCTCCACAGCCAGTCACAACTGCCAGCCAGTCTCTGGCGACAGTCGTGGTGCTGCCTCGGCTCTCCGGCTCCCGCAGACTCTCCAGGACCTCCGCTGTCAGCGGCCCATCACGTCATTCCGGGTCGCCTGCGCACCTTCGCCGAGGCGCAGGCGCAGTGGCTTTATTTCCCCAGGAGGCTCCTCTGAGCACGTGGGTTGTGCTGTCCGGCGCGCGCGCGGTGGGACTGGAACCTGATTTTTGCTGGTGTTCATCGTGGGCGGCAGACTAGTAAAAGCCATGGCACCGGCGGGAATCCTGAACGGGAAGACGGTCTCCGCGTAAGCACCTGACATTGCTGATAGGGGCGGTGGGCTCAGGGCAGGGCGCGCGGGTCTCCATGCACCCCGGTTCTGCAGTAATGATACTTGCCGCACAATCAAATGGGCTGGGTGGGAAGGAAGGACGTCCTCATGGCCTCTAGAATCTGAAGGTCAGTTTTCAGAAGCCAGAGAAAAATCCCCGGCCCAGCGTGTGATTGCAATCGACTGCCTGGTGGCTGCACGCCTGTGTTTTGGCGGCAAGTCCGGGCCTAACCCTGCTCTCAAAAGTGTGATTGCTGGATCTTTCTATCCAAACGTGGGCTGCTTGGAGAGTCAGAACTCGGAAACCCAGCATAGCCGTTTGCCTGGCTATTTGGTGGTGGTTTGTTTGTGGCAAGACTTGACACGGATGGTTGGTGACGGGGGTCGCTTTCTAAGTTTGCTTGCTTGTTTCGTTCACCATGTAGACCAGGATGGCCTTGAACTCATAGAGATCCTCCTGCCTCTGCCTCCCCAGTGATGGGATTAAAGGCGTGCACCACCACACTCGACCTAGAGGTTCTCTTCTAATCTGTGGCGTCCCTCACTACACCGGTGACAGCCTTTTTATTTTCTTACCTCCCGATAACTCGTCTTCCAAAGTGCCGCACTTGTAAGGCAAGCTCTGCACTGAGCGACAACCCCAGCCCCCATCATGCACCACGCCACGCTTTTTGACCTGGCACTAAAGTTATTTTTTAGTTTGGCTCCCGTACGCTATTCCACGTTCCATTTGACCCCACCTGTGCCGGCGCTGCATATTTGTATGAATGCTCAACTAGTGGCAATGTATGCCCTATGTACTCCCACAAAGTAACTCCCTTTTGCTTTTTTGGGAGAGAGGGTTGGGAATTGAGCCCATTAGTATGCTTAGCCACTGGACATTTCTTGCTTTTTGTTGAGGAATGAAAGTTGGGGAATAAGAGAGTGGAGGGGAGAGAGAAAGGTGTATTTTGTGACCTTAGTGAAGGTTGCTCTTAGGACATTAGGTATCACTGGTTACTTAGTAACTGTTGTGGTTAACAGTAATTGTCCAATAAACCCTTGGCTATGTCAGTAGAGGCTTTTAGAGGCTGATGTTGAAACCTACCCCGGGGCAAAGTGATCCTTTACTGGGGGCTGGGAAGGTGAACGAAGAGAGAAATATACATTAGATGGGGAATCTTCCACAAAGGCAAGGAAGAGCCCCATATTTTTAACTAGAAATCATAATATACACATCGGATATATGTACATATTTTTCCTTTCCTTTTTTGGTTTTTTGAGAAAAGGTTTCTGTGTGTAACAGCCCTAGTTGTCTTGGTACTAGCTCTGTAGACCAGGTTGGCCTCGAAGATCCACCTGCCTCCTGAGTGCTGGGACTAAGGGCATGAGCCAACACCTCCCGGCTTTACATTTCCTTTCCTTTCTTTTCTTTCTTTCTTTCTTTCTTTCTTTCTTTCTTTCTTTCTTTCTTTCTTTCTTTCTTTTTTGAGACAGGGTTTCTCTGTAGCAGCTTTGGCTGTCCTGGAACTCACAGACATCCATTGCCCCCCCCCCCCCATGCTGGGATTAAAGGTGTGCACCACCGCCACCTTGCTTACTTTTTTCTTAATACACACTTTTTCCTTCTTTTTTTTTTTTTGTCTTTTTTTTTAAGGACAAGGTCTAATGTAGTAGTAGCCCAGGCTTGCCTCAAACTCAAAACTAGCCGAGTGATTCAGTGCATCTTCCAAGGGCTAGGGTTATAGGTCTGTATAGTGCATGCATTTAGTCGCAGCACTCTGGAGGCAGAGGCAGACGGTTTTCAGTGAGTTCGAGGCCAGCCTGGTCTACAGAGTTAGTTCCAGGACAGCCAGGACTGTTATGCAGAGAAACTCTGTGTTGAAAAACCGTAAAATAAATAAATAAGTGAATAGATAAATAAATATGTTAATATGGGGACCAAAGAGGTGCCTCATGGGTTGGGAGTACTTCTTGTTCTTCCAGAGGACTCAGCTTAGTTCTTAGCATCCTGGGCAGACTACACACAACTGCCTGTAACTCCAGCTTCAAGGGAACAGATGGCTCTCTTTGGGTAATCATGCACAGGCATGGCGTACACTTATACACACATGCACATAAATTTTAAAATTTCATATGTGTATTTGATGTTGGCTACATACCGTATGCACGCATGTAGCAAGTGTGTATGTTTGCTGTAACAAAGTAAATGCATGAGTGGGCGTCTTTTACCTGACCTGCTAAAATGTCCTTACTTTATGCAATCCTGGATACAGTATCCTTTGATTACCCACAGTCCTCAGGTTCTGCCTCTTACATATCTCCTACTTTGTATTCTTTGGAATGCATCTGGTTTCTACCCCACCCCTGCTTTAGTCTCTAGCTGTCTGCATGGATTTAGATCCACTGTAAGTGAGATTATACATCATTTTTCTTGTGTAACACCCTCCAGTTTTGTCCATGTTGGACAACATCTCTTAAGTATGGATAATATTCCACAGTATGTCTACAGTCTTATTATCCATTTGTTGAGGATGTGGCTGTTTGTTCAGTGGTAGGGTGCTTGTCTGGCATGCGCAATGCCTAATGTCCTAAAGCAACCTTCAATAAGGTCACAAACAGCTTAGGTTGTTCCCATATTTTGGCAGTTGTGAATAATGCTACAATTATCGTGAGTGTTCAGACTTTTTTTTAAATGGGAAGGAAGTTTATTGGATGAAGGGAGGGGAGTGAAGGGAAAGAGAAGAGAGAGGCAGAGACAGAAAGAGGCAGAAACCGAGACTTCTTTATTAGGTTGTAATTTAAATTTTTTTTTTGATTACACATTCAGGAAAGGTGCAGTTCTGGTTATTTTGTTTTGTTTTGTTTGTTTCTGTTTTGTTTTTCGACACAGGGTTACTCTGTAGTTTTGGAGCCTGTCCTGGAACTCTCTCTGTAGACCAGGCTGGCCTCAAAGTCACAGAGATCCTCCTGCCTCTGCCTCCTGAGTGCTGGGATTAAAGGCTTATGCCACCACCATTCGGCTCTATTTTGTTTTTAATTTTTAAAATTTGATTTGATGGGGGGGGATGGCTCGGTGGTTAAGAGCACTGGCTGTTCTTCCAGAGGACCCAGGTTCAATTCCTAGCCCCCACATGGCAGCTCACAATTGTCTGTAACTCCAGTTCCAGGTAATCCAGCACTTTCACACAGGCATACATGCAGGCAAAACACCAATGCATATAACATACAATAAAAAAATTAAAAGCTGAATTGACTGTGACAGCAGAAGTGTTGTTGTAGGCCCGGGCCCCAGCAGCTATCAATGCCACAAAAGGATACTTCTGATTTTTTAAAGGCAACTGCACGCTACTTTCTTGGTGACCATATGAATTCATGTTTCCACCAACAGTGCACCAGGGTTCCCTTTGTGCCTCACTCTTTGTCTCTCCACCCCCCCCCCATCCCTCCACTGAGGGATGGATGAAGGAGTCAAATGGGTTGTCAGGCTTGTGCTGTGAAAACTTTTAATTGCTGAACCGTCTCTTTGGCCTTGCCCTTTTAATAATCCATATTCTAATGGATTTGAAGTACTATCTCAGTAGTTTTAATTTGCTTTCCCCTTGGAAGGGGTACTGAGGGGTGTGTGTGCTTGTTAGCTAGTCTTATGTTTTTTCAACATATGTCTCACTGAAGTACCTTTTACTATGCTCTTTTCTTGAAATGTTCCTATTAGAAAGCTTGTAAAGAGCTGGGCAGTGGTGGTACACGCCATTAATCCCCATACTCAGGAGACTGAGGCAGGGGGGATCTCTGAGTTCAAGGCCATCCCAGTCTACAGAGTGAGTTTCAGGACAGCCAGAGCTATACAGAGAAACCCTGTCTCAAAACAAACAAAAAACTGTAGAGAGTTAATTTAGGTTTTCATCTTGGCAGGTAACTGGGAATAGGTGGTATGGGTGTGTTTTGATTATGGAGAGGAAATTCAATAATTTTAAGCTCCATTAAAAAAATAGCTGGAAAGAAGGCTCAGCGGTTAAGAACAATGGCTGCCCTTCCAGAAGACATAGGATCAATTCCAGGCATCTACATGGAAGTTCATAATCATCTGTAACTCCAGTTCCAGGGGATCTGATGGCCTCCAACCATCGAGAACACACCCCCTGCACATGTGTACATGCCCAAACACCCATATACAAAGAAATAATAAAATAAGTAAAATGTGCTACGTATGCAGTTTTGTTTATGTTTATATCTAAAATACCTAGAAACTTTTTCACATTTTGCTAATTGTGTGGTTTTAAGCAAACTTCTTAACCTTTGTGTTGCATTTTTCTCAGAGGTAATTTAAAAGTAATATCTAGATTATTGGGTTTTTAGCAAAATGAAATAAGAATTTTAGTTTTGTGAGACAGGGTCTTTCTATATCACCTGACTGTCCTGGAACTGTGTTGACCAAGCTGGCCTAATCCTGAGTGCTGGGATTAGAGATGTGTACCGCCACCACCCGGCTACCTAAATGAGTTCTTCACAGAGGAACACTGAAGAATCTTCTTGACACATAGGCAATGTTCAATAAACCTTAGCTGTTTATATTCATAGTCTATAGTTGGTATATACATGAATGTCTTCTTGGTTTTCTTTCTAAAAGCAATAGCGGGCTTGAGATCTATTCCAGTGGTTTTCAACATTACCAGACCTTGTGGTACAAGCTTGCAATCCTAGCTACTTACAAAGGCTGGGATATGGTGAGTACACAGCTTGGATTACAGAATGAGTTCAAGACAAGCTTGAGCAACTTGGTGAGGCACTGT